CCCTTCCCAATTATCATCATATTGCCCTATAAATGTCAAGCTACCTTCCAATTCATCATCATATTGCCCTATAAATGTCAAGCTACCTTCCAATTCATCATCATATTGCCCTATAAATGTCAAGCTACCTTCCAATTCATCATCATATTGCCCTATATTCAGTAGTAATATAAAAGATATTGGATATGAACAGTTTAGCCACAGTGCAGTGACATTGTAATCCCTATCTCCCCCAGCAGGATCAGACTCACTCCAACCAGGATGTTGGGTGTCACACCAATACTACAGATGGGTATCCCCCTGGGAGCTAACGCACTACCTATAGAATGTGTGATCCCACACACACAGGCAAACAGGCATAATACATAGGATCCATGGTAACCATAATCCTTAATAACCATAATCCATAGGATCCATAGTAACCATAATCCTTAATAACCATAATCCATAGGATCCATGGTAACCATAATCCATAGGATCCATAGTAACCATAATCCATCGGATCCATAGTAGCCATAATCCATACGATCCATAGTAACCATAATCCATACGATCCATAGTAAACATAATCATTAGTAACCATAATCCATAGGATCTATAGTAACCATAATCCTTAGTAACCATAATCCATAGAAACCATAAACCATAGTAACCATTGTACATAGTAACCAGGATCCATAGTAACCAGGATCCATAGTAACCAGGATCCATAGTAACCATGATTGTAGGATCCATAGTAACCAGGATCCATAGTAACCAGGATCCATAGTAACCAGGATCCATAGTAACCATAAAGAATAGTAACCAGGATCCATAGTAACCAGGATCCATAGTAACCATAAAGAATAGTAACCAGGATCCATAGTAACCAGGATCCATAGTAACCAGGATCCATAGTAACCATAAAGAATAGTAACCAGGATCCATAGTAACCATGATTGTAGGATCCATAGTAACCATAAAGAATAGTAACCAGGATCCATAGTAACCATGATTGTAGGATCCATAGTAACCATAAAGAATAGTAACCAGGATCCATAGTAACCATGATTGTAGGATCCATAGTAACCATAATTCATATGATCCTTAGTAACCATTAGGCCCAGTTAATATAGGTCTAGCTCAATGGTCATGAGTAATGTGTTTTGGCAGTAATCTGCTGAGGTAATTAACGGCTGTTTAGCAGCCCAGTCTATGCTGAAGTGGACCATTTTCACATTGTGTATGACACCATGGTAACTGGGAGATGCTAGCCCTACACCACATGTTCCACTGTGGTTAAGAACTCAAACTGCCAGCAGGCATGCCGTCCTCATGGCCAACACATACACACACACACACACACACACACACACACACACATACACACACACCCCACACACCACAAAACACACACACCCCACACACACACACACCACACAGAGAGACACGCACATGCTCACGCAGACACAATCAGGTTTTCCTACACTGAGTGTACAAAACATTAGGAACTTTAATAAGAGTTCGTAGCTTTCACCTGGATTCACCTTCGTACCCACCGCCCACCTTGCGAGCGAAACATTTTTACATTTTAAAGTTCACTTCCTGCAATTCACAATTTTGCCATAAGGGGGCGGAGAGAAGATTTTGCAATTTTATAACTCATTTACTGCAGTTCTAGTGTCACGTCTCCTCCCGCTCCCCCTCTCCTGCGCTCGACTTTGCCGGTCTACTAACCACCGGTCCTGGCAACCCATCATTACGCACACCTGGCAACCCTCATTACGCACACCTGGACTCCATCACTACCCTGATTACACCCCCTTTATCTAGCCCACCCTAGCATCACTCTTCAGGCAGTATTGGTTCAGTTTTTCATGTCCAGACGCGTCGCTTGTTTTGTAACGCTCCCATGTTCGTTATTATTAAACTCACCACCTGCTTCCTGCAATATACGTTACATCTACACATTTTGTCATAGGGTGGAGGAAAATATGTATGATAACTGATAAACAATGTGCCCCACCCCGGTCAATAATTAAACTACAAGTTTAGATAGTCTAACTGCCAGCTAATTTGCTAATCTAAAAAACAAAAATGCTGACATGGGCTAATTAGGTGACTGCTGACGGCGCTTGTAACGCCAGGGTAGTGGGTTCGATCCCCGGGACCACCCATACGTAAAAATGTATGCGCACATGACTGTAAGTCGCTTTGGATAAAAGCGTCTGCTAAATGGCATATTATATTATTATATTATGCTGACGCACAACCAAATTTAGAAATTGCACATTGTGTATTCTATTATTCTAACTCAAAACAGGAAGTTGAGACCCCGACTGAATTCCCCCCCCCCCCCCAGACCTCC